TTGTCTGGCCAGAGTGGGTAGCAGGATCTGACTTCTGGGGCTCAAGCCAGGTTCTGACCCAGCTCCTTGAATGTCAACAGCACCTTCAGTCCTCAAGAAAGAGTAAAGAAACAAGAACCAGAACTCCTGAGGGTCTCTCACAGTGAAGTCTGGGGAAGGCTCCTGCCTACAGATGGACAGGCCTTGGCACATGTCAGCAAGCATCAGGAGGTGCTCTGCAGCCACAGCAGCTCCCTGGTACCTGCTGCAGTGGGGGAAGGCAGAGCACAGCAGGGCCCAGGCTGCCCTGGTGACTTGCACATCCCAAATGTGCAAGGGGAAAAAATGGAAAGATTTGAAGAATATAGCAATACCTTTCTGTTTCCCAGCATGGTGCCTGGGACATTCTGCCCACACAGTCCCTTCCCACTGCTACAGTGCTGGGACCTCCCATCCACTTCTGCACCACCCCAAGGGCATGGGAGGCATCCGGAGCTACAAACTCAGGTGCAGGTACAGCCTGCAAATCCCAAATCCTATGAGCCCCAGCAGAAGTAAGTGCTGACAGCCACTCAGTGCCACAGGGCTGCAGTTGATGGGACATCCACACACAGCACATGACTGATCTGGGGGATGCAGGTGATGTGAACACAGCCCCCCCGGGAGCCCCCAGCGCCGCTCAGCAGGTGTGACTGCAGGGAGCGAGCTGTGCAGTGATGACTGGCAGAGCTGGTGCATAGATAACACAAATTTGATTAGTGTTCATCAAATATACTATTCGACCATACTCCCTTATTAATGCTCGAGTCAGGAAGAGTATTTTTAGGTTGTCTAGGGAGATGTCAGACTCAGTGCTGCTGCATTTATTTTTCTTTTTACTTCAGTGTTGATTAACGCTCATGTCTTGGCCACCCGTGCAGTGACAGCACCCATATTTCCCCCTCTGCCCCTGCAGAAAATCTCTGTGCCACACAGCACTCCATCTCACCTGCTTCCATCGCCAGGACAGTGATGTTGTGCCACCCTGCTGTCTCCCGGTCCAGGACCTTTCCTGTGACAATAGCACCTGTTTTGGCATCAATGTCAAAGATCCTCTCAGCATCTGTGCTGCGGTCGATGGCATACCTGCGACCAGGGAGAAGGGGAAACCATGAGCAGCTCAATGTGCCAAGCCCACCCTTGCCACCCGCCCCAGGACTACTGAAATCTAACACAACAGGCCCTGCATCACTGCTCTCCTCATCCTGTGCCACAGCATAGTACACAAAGGCCACGTTTCTACCAGGCTGCAAGCCCAGAGCCCTTAAGTAAAACAGAAGTGTGGCTTTTGGTGCATGAAGTGCAACTATGCACAGACTGTGGACAAGGGGAAAAACCTGCTCTGATAGGAACCTTATGCTCTAGATAGACAGAGCAGTGCAGAAATCATGGGCTATAACTTCACTCGTGACTCTGGGAAGCTTCAGAGCTGTAGGCTGAGGAAAAGCACAAACCCAAACTGAAGGCAGGCACCTCTTCTCGAGGAGTCCACCTCACTTACTACCCCCTCTCCTCATCCTGCCTCAGCATCCACCCAAGTGACAGACCTGGAGGGCAGCATGGCAGCACATGGTAGACTGTCAGCCAGACCTATGGACACCCTGAACTGCAGCTACAGCAGGCACAAAGGGCAAGGTCTCCTCTGAACCCATACAGAACCTGTGCAACTGGTGTGACGATCGTGGCAGCAGAGAGGTGGGCAGCAACCAGAATCCCCCCATCAGCACAGCACATCATGCCAGCAGCCCCAAGATTTGCCCTATTTTGAGCTTCCCAGTCCCACAAAGAACAGGCTGAAGAGCTCTTCCAGTTCTGACTGACTCCAGCTGCTCAGCAGAAACTCATCACAGCTCTCACTCCTCCTTCAGATGCTCCAGTGCTGCCCCAAATAGCTCCCTTCTTGTGCATTCCATCAACAGCCCACATGCTCTTTGTGCCACCTCCAGAGAGCAGGACTCCCACCTCTCCCTACAGGCAACACCACAGCTCACGAGAAGTCAGACCCAGGGTTTAGCCCCGTGCCTTTGCCACAACACCACAAACCTACACATGTCCCAGTGGCATGTCCTGCATTTCCAACCATTACACACATTACACATGGAATGAAGCAAGCCAACATTAAATCAGGGCACAATGAGATGTGAGCTCCTGGGGGAAGGAGCTGGAAGGGAAGTCCGATCCAGCTGAGGCCCTCGAGCGCAGCCGTAGCACAAATAACAAACACCACCACTGCAATCAGAATTAGAAATCCAGAAGGCCTGCAAATCACAAACAATACAGCATAATGTTATTGTGTACAGCATCTTTCACACACACTGAATCCCAGAGTGCTTCACAGAATTAAATAATACAAGACAGCAAAGAGTACAAAGGATAAATTACCAAAAGGAAGGCTGTGAATAAATTAAAGCCTTCAGTCACATGTCCAACCACAGAAGGAAGATAGATGTAGGGACAAAGCAAACTGGAAAGCTGATGAAGTAGGACAGTCCTGAGAGGCCACATTGGACAGGTGCAGAGCAGGACAGGCTCCAGGCTAGCAGCACATTCAGGACAGGGGAATGGCTCCAGGGCAGCTTTCCCAGAGGTTGTGTCTGGTCTGGCACAATCTGGCTGTGGTCTGTGGGTCCCTCATCCACATGGCTCACAGGTGAGGAACACCAGCTCAACTTCTGCATGCAAGGAAGACCATTGATGGCCACATGCTGCTCTGCCCCATGCCCTGGGAGAGGACCAGCTGCAGATGGGAGTGCATCCTGCAGAGCCTCTGTCCATCCACACAACTCCATCTCTGATGGAGGCAAACACAAAGGCAGATTACATTCCCTAGCTCTCTCCCTTTCAGACAGATGGGGGAATGAGAGAGAAGACACAATAGTACTTGTTTGTAGCTAAGGAAAAACATTCAAAAGTCACAATCTAAATTGTATTTGCACATAGCCACAATCTAGCACATTTTGCACCTACATGGCCAAGCCCCTCCTTCTCCCTTGCATCTAGAAGTGATGGACATCTGTCATACAAAGCCAGGTACAAGCTCAGGCGTCTCAAATTAACTGCCAGGGTCTGTCTGTGTTTTCTGCCCCAACTCCCAGCTGGAAGCAGAGCCTCTACAGGCACACAGCCAGCTCCAGAAGGGACAGTGACACTGTCTTGGCACATACTGCAGCCTCTCATCCACTCTGTGCTCGCTCACTGAGAAGAAAAAAGAGAGGTCTGGCTACCCTGACTTGTACACATCAGTCCAATGTTCTGTTGGAAAGAGGAACAGAAACTGGGATGACAACACTTAATACCTTTCCCATAGCATAATTGATGTATTTACATAACCACTTCATTGTTCTCCCACATCACCCGACCTCGAACATGGTTCTGCCTTCCATTCCACTTTTTCATACTGTTAAGTTCAAGATGGCACTTCATGCTTCCCACGGCTGCTTTGCTTCTCAGGTAAGCACAAGGCTGTTCTGATCACACTTGTGCCATTGCTGCATAAACAGAGATAGCTACAAAAAATATCTACACAGAAAAACCCGGTTAGTGATGGGGACACATCTGACAGGGCTGCCCCCCCAGCTGGAGGGCAGGGAACACTCCATGCCATGCCATCAGGAACCTGTTGTTATGCTTCTCATTGCTTTGCTGCTGAGGTTGTCTTCTGTCACTTCTGAACTGTCTGTTGAGGACAGACTGACTGCCTATACCCTATGGCCAGGAACAAACCAAACCAGAAATCTGATGCCTTTGTCACCACTGCTACAGAGAACTGCCACCTCCTCAGCACTGCACTGGGGAAGGAGACAGAGCTAGAAGTACTGCCTTGACCACAGCAGCAGGGCTCAGCCTGCTGCCATGCACTGAGAGTGTGGAGATGGTCAGTCCATGTGGGTCTGCAGCTCTCCACAGGTGCCAAAAGCCATGGAGGCTCTGGAGCACTAGGCTGGCATGGGAGATGGGGGCTGGTTGGGGATCACAGAGACATCCATTCACCCCCAAAGCCACAGCCAAAGCCCACTCAGAGCTGCAGATCACACAACAGACCTCACCTTCCAACACCTTACAGCTTATCCCACGTTGGAGCAAGCAGCTCTCCACTGCTCTCATTCACATCATTTTGTGCAATACAACCAAACAGCCTCTCCACCTCTGCTTGTCCAGCTTCATATTCACTCACCCTGCTGAAGTCAAACAGTGCTTCTTACATGGGAAGAGGGAGCATTTAATCCCACATTCTCCAGGTACTCAGAGACAGGACCTATGCTCACTCCTACTGCAACTGGCTGGTGCTCCATATCTGGAACTGCAGTCCTCAGCTCTGATTGGGATGCAGACCTTGTACTCCATTTCCCTCCCTTCCTGCTAGCACTGCCTGTTGGTTTGGATGTTACAAGTGACTGTTTAATTTCGACAGCTTTCTTGGTGCTCATCTTTCTCATGAATGCATTTCTCAAGCAGTTTGTTTCACTTCTCCCCTGAACGCAACAAGGAGCACATTTTATGCCATGTGTTTCGTTAATAGGGAGCTTTTCAAACACTGTATGAAAAGCTTTTTGTTGTGTTTGTTTTTTCCTCCTCTCCCTTTTGTGTTGAAGCAGGTTGTAGTTCTTGCTGTGCTTTTGGGAGTCTATAAAATGCCCATGTCCAACACGTGTCTCCGGATTTGGTGAATGCCAAACAAGAATATCTCTGAGAACCTTAAATCCCAAGCAACATCTTCCCAGTGCTGATAAAGCCTGGAATGCACACAATCAGAGCACAGGCTCCTACTGCAGAGAGAGAAACAAAAGGCTCCATACAAACAGCCTCACTCACACAGACAGTCTATTACTGTATTACTTCATACAATAGCTCAGCTGAGAAAAACTGCACTACACCCAGAAAACACACAGCTAAAGCCCAAAAGCCAACTGGAAACTAAATTCTTTCTGAAAATTAGTGCTTCCAGCTTTTGATAGGAAAAAACCAAAACACAACCCAAGGACGGAATAAAATAAAAGAACTGGACCTTTAGAAGGGCATTTCCCACATCAGTACCATGGTGGGGTTTGTGCCCCACTGAGGGTTCATGCAGTCCCTCGGCCATGCTGAGCTCAGCATTGCTCCCTGCTCACACATCAGAGCTGCTGGGAGGGTGCTCCTCTCTGAGAGATACAGTGCTCCTTGGGTGCTCCAGCTTTCCTGCCACCCAAGGCAAGGAGCTGCCAGGGGCTCTGCAGCCACGTGCAGCTGGAGTGGGGCAGCAAGCAGTGTCTCAGGGACACCCCTTCAGCCCTCATCTTTTAACAGGTCACTGCAAGCCAGCCTGGTTTGTGGGAAGGGATTTGCTCTCAAACCAAGTGGCTGCACCCTGTGGGGCACGTGGATCACCAGGAGGGCAGAGCAGCACATCTCCAGGAGCGTAGAGGAACATCAGGCTGGGATGTGCCTCTGGCAGCTGCTTTGGGCAGCTCAGCAGGAGGCACAGCCTTGTTCGTGCTGGCCTGGGGCTGAAAACAAAAAGCCAAGGGCACCTCCCTTCCCATTTGGCTAAAAATACCTCCCAAACCTCGTTACTGGCAGCCTGGTGTCAGCAGGACCTGGAAACCCTGACAGAGCTGATTTCTGCTCTGCTGTCTCTGGCAATACTTGTTCTTTCCTGCCTCAAGGGGAAAGTGCATCTCGACAAGACAGGAGGTTGTGGCTCTCCTCTATTTACAGGCAGAGCCAGCACACACCCCAGAGTCCAGGAGAGCAGCCACTGCAGAAGTACAGCCGTGCCTCTGCTCCCACCTCTGGCAGACGAGGAGCAGGAAGTTAAAGGGATCCACTGAACTGCAGAGACTTCAAAGGGTTCATACCAACTTCAAGGAGCTGAGGATCAAATGCTGGTCATGCTGTCAGGACCAGTTGCTCTCTAATGTACCAGAGGTGAAGTACAAGTGCTGGCTTCTTGTGGCTGTACTTCGGAGCAGCACACTTGAAACACGAGGTGACTTACTACTGTCTCTTGCTGACAGGTTAGTGTCACATCCTGGTGCTGCAGGGTGCTGGCATTAATGTCTGTGCACTGCTTTGAAGCTGTGAACAGCTGCCTACGCAAGCAAACTATTTTATTAAATTACCTGGCTAGCCAGAGGACAGGAGAGATCCAACTGCACCTTCCTCCTGCATTGGTGCCGCATCAGCACCACCAATATCAACCTGCATTTCCACTTGGTACATGTTAAAATGGCTGTGAAGACTCACCCAGCTGCACTGCCACTGCTTGTGACAGCAGGGACTGCCAGAACAGAGGGAGTGAAGGGATGGACAGATAGAGACCAAGTGCCACAGGGGAGCATGGGAGACACACGATGAGCTACCTGCCTGGGGATAGCTGGAGGGAGGACATGTATTCGAATGCATCAAGTCTGACAAGGGAAAACACATGGCAATTCCCAAGCTGCAGCAGATGCCTGGGAGTCCTGTTGGCTGGGCCCTTGTGCCTGAGCACGACGCATTGCCTTGTCTGGCACTGAGCTTGCTGTAGGAGAGACTCCCATAGCAAAGTTTGGGCTCTAACCGTCTTGCTCCTGCGCAGTACTTGAATCTGCTTCTCTCTGGTCCAAGTCCCCATTGCCTTCTGCACAGCAGTAGAGAGCCTCCCTCCACTGCTTTCTGTCTGCAAACAATGCAGCAAACTCCACAGGGAAGCAGCACATAGAACAAGAAGAAACAAGAATCGTTCTGTCTCCAAGGCCCCTTTCCTACAATTACAGATCAGAAAATAAAATCTATGTTCTGTAGCACTGCTAGAAACAGTCAAGTGAAAAAGCAAATGCAAAGCATGCACACACAGAGGTGTGTGGACAGACCACACTCCTGAACAGTGTGAGCTGACAGCCATGTGCTCAGGAGCCACAAAGAAAGAAATCAGACACGTAGCCTGACTGGAGAGCCACACAACAAGGTGAGCAGAGGTATGCTGAGAACACATTCAACAGTCAGCACCCACTAGTGCAAGTGGTGCAGCACTCACATACACGGTTCCTGGCATGCCAAGGCTGATTTCATTCACATTCACCCCAAAGTCAACTTTCAGCATCCAGCTTTGTGACACAGATCTCTCTGCTAGCTGCCAGGCATCTATAGATGGCAGCTTTCCATGTGCAAATTGTTTTCTGAGCTTCCTAACCATCTCAGTCTTCACTTCCATGAAGATCAGGAGATCCCCTCACCCCACTGTGAAACGACGCACAGCGCTGAGCTCAGTGCCCCAAGCAGGCACCTGGGGACATCATCGAATGTGGCCAGTGCTGTAACTGAGCCCTCCATGGTTTGTCCCCCTCCATCCCACATCCCTGTCCCTCCCAGTCTGTTGCTCCAGGGATGGCTCCCTGTGGAGCTCTCAGTGCAAAGCCACCGCTGCTCCCTGGAAGTGAGCGGCTCCACGGGCGCCTGCAGCCCCGGCGGCACCTGGCACCAGAACACACATTTCAAGGAAATTTTCCACACGTTGAGGATGTTTTCTGAACACCAGATTTCCAACCCAACTGCTCGTGACTCAGGCCAGTTGGCAGAGCCAGAAGGCTGCTTCGTGCCTTAGGTAATAACAATTTAACAAGGTAACAATCTCTTTAGCCACAAATTAAATGGAAATGGGAAATGTCCTGTGCAGATAAGCTGCTGCTTGGATTATGTCCCCTGCCCAAATATAAACTCCTCTGATCTTTGATCCGATGCACACATGCACGCACACATTGCCAGGCTGTGGCTCTGCACCTCCCAAGCCTCACCTCATTTATCACCCTTCACCACTGTCCTCCTGCCACTCCTGTTGTCTGGCCTGTGTCAGGCACCACTTCGGGTATCTTGCTGTCAGCAGCAAGGGCACACAAGCATCACCCATCCACCTTCCCTGACACTCCCTTGCACTCACAAACCCATCACCTGTCAGTGACGTGTCTGTCGCCTGTGAGATGGCTGCGCTTGCTTGTGCACAGGCTGCCACTCACCTGCCAGCTGCCTGTCCCATGAGACACACTCACACACTTGGCCACATGTGCAGCATTTGCCACCTTTACCTGCTCTGCCCCACCTCCTCTGTCCCAGCCATGGCCACAAGTCCCCCTGGGCCACGTGTGTCCCTTGCCGTGACCCCACGCCCACAACTGGAAGGAGGATCATGTGAGGTTCAGACAGCTGCTTTACCGGACAGGGTGGTTCGCTGTGTCTGGGTCAAGGGCAGTGACCACCCCCACAACAGAGCCCACATGTGCATCCTCCTGGACCTCCATCAGGTTGGAGGGGGGCCGGAACTCAGGGGGCTCGTCGACGTCCAACACGGAGACCCGCACGATGGTCTGGTCCCGGAAGGTGCCCAGGTCCACGAACCGTGGGTCCACGAACTTGTTGAGGGCCTCCACCACAACAGTGTGCACTTTTTTTGACTCGTAGTCAAGAGGCTGGGACAAGAGAAGATGGTAAGCCACAGCCTGTGCAAGGAGCCCCTCTGCTGCTTCTTCCTTCACCAGAGACATCAAGGCAGCACTAGAGCCACTAAAGCCACCTGCCCCCAGGCAGTGCCTCTGCAGGAGCCTGGGGGCTTCTGCTTTGCCCTCCTGCCACTCCAAGGGGGCAGGAGAAAGCAGAAGCCTCCAGCCTGCTCCCCTCAGGGCCCCCACCAGGATGCCCAGGCTGTGGGGAGCCAGGATTCACTGGGAAGACAGCACAGTGTGCGCAGCACACGAGCGAGTTTTGATCATTAATCACCCTGCTCTTATTTCTACAGGGAAGGCAAGCTGCATACAGTGGCCTTGGAGAACAATCATTCTTTCCTGCCGGCACCAAGTATTTGCTTGATTGTTTTTGCCACCAAAAGCAGATACAGTCTAAGTGCTGTTGGTCAGGTACAGGAATTAGGTGGGTATTTTTCTCCCCCAACAGGTGCTATCAATAACAGCTGTAAGTACTTGTCTCTAGACTAAGCACAGCGTCCCCTCAGCACAGCTCGTCGCTTCGCTGCCACCCCCGAGCTACTCCAGGGGACTCCAGCAGGCACTGTGTGCTGCTCCTTTCCAATCTTTCCTCCCAGACACAGCCCTGTGTTTTGCCATCGAGGCAGAGGAGAGACAGGTTTCTCCCTGCAACAGTCAGAGGAGCATTTGTTTCAACTCAAATGCAACAACAGTCCCCAAAGGATAGGGCCCTCCCTACCCAACCAGTGCTCCTCATCTCTCACCTTCTGTACCGTGATGACAGCCTCTTGGGTATTGCTGTCCGTGGTGACTTTGAACATCTCCACCCCTTCCTCATCCTTCACTTGATATGTCATGTCCGTGTTCTCCCCGACGTCAGAGTCCTCTGCCTTCACCCTCCCGATGGCAGTACCCACGGGGGCTGTTTCGACAATGCTGAACTGATACATCTCTGGAGGAGAAAAAAGGTTCCAGGGTCAGTGCTTCTTCTTTTGAACCCCCTCCAGCCTGATACAGCCTGATACAAACCTCCCTAAGGCTATCCTGGACTGCAAGGGCTGCCCGAACTCCACCGTGTCTATAGTCCAGAATGCCCCACCAGAAGAAACATACCCCAGCTAAAAACAAGGACTGAGGGAAGATAACTGGGGACATAAGCACAAGCAACAGGCCACTAGCAGTGTCTTGGGAAACAGCTGTGCTGTAACAAGGCTGCTGTCTGTGAGTGGGCAGTGTCACCATGCCTCGCAGTGGGGCAGAGTGTGCCAAGCTCTGATGCTGGAGCCAGGAGGGGTAGGGCCAGCAGCTGACAGCTGAGACCCTGATCCAACTCCCAGGAGACAGCAGCACAGCAAACCCAGCTGCCTTCTCCCCAGTGCTGCTTGGTGAGGGCTCAGTAAAGGGCCAGCTCTTCTCTCCCCACCACACGTCCCTGTTTGCTGCCAGGACCAGCATGGAGCAGGGGTCTTGTCCAGGGTCCAGGACAAGTTCAGCCAAGGCAGCTGCCCCTCCATCGTGCTGCCAGGCAGGGACACAATCACACCCAGGACAGGAGCTGTGAGTGGCACAGTCCCTTGGTGCTGACACCCTGCCAGCAGCTGAAGCAGCTGGGCTGGCTCAGCCTGCAGAGATGTGCCAGGCTGTGCTGGAAGCTAAGCTTCTGTCCCACCACCCACAGAAAACCAGGACAAGGGCCAGTGCTCATCCCCAGCGCTGTTGGGACTCACTCTGAGGAAAGCGTGGTGGGTTGTCGTTGACATCAGTGACTACGATGGTGACTGTGGTGGATCCAGACAGGCCACCCAGCTGTCCTGCCATGTCTGTCGCACGGATCACCACCTCATAGCGGTCCTGTGTCTCACGGTCCAGGTCTGCCACGGCTGTCCGGATCACACCTGGAAACACAGGACAGCATGAGCACAGGCAGGGTGCAGAGCATCTGCAGAGCCACAGACAGGGTGAGGCTGGAAAGGGCCACTGGAGATTACTTCTGCCAAGCCCTAGCTCTAAACAGGATCAGCTGCATCTCCCAGCCTCTCCACACAGGTCAGATGCTCCAGTATTTCATCAACCTTCATGGCTCTTCCCTGGACAAACTGTGGTGCCCACAGAATTATACTTGGCAGCCCAGAGCCAGACACAGCACTTGCATCTCACTAGTGCAAAGTAGAAGGGACTGGCACCTCCCTTGATTGCTGGGGACACTCTCCCAACACAACCCTGGTGCTGCCAGCTGCCTCTGCCACAGGAGCACACTGCTGGCCACAGACAACATCTGCTGGGCCATTTCGCAGAGGTCACCTAAGCAAAAAGCCAACTGAGGGAAGAAAAAGACTCTGGAGAGAGGAACAAGCCCAGAAGGTTGTCAGCCAGGCAGAAACATCCCAAAAATCCCCCCATAGCACAGGGATGGCCACAGGCCAAAGCTGGTTCCAGCAAGTCTGCGCATTAAGCATAAAAAGGTCCTGACCACTGCTTCTCCCATGGGCTGCTGGCAGCTCCCACAGGGTTAAACCCTGGCACAGAGGAGGGTTATGCTTCTCTCCAGGGAAGCCGGGAGCTGGGTGAAAGATTTGTGAGTTCCAGAGTCATAGGAACAGGAGGACTCATCCTTGCCCTCACTCAAATGCAGGGGCTGTGCTGGGGCTAGCCTCAAGGTCTGCACAGAAGGGCTCTGTAAAAGTCCAGGCTGAGTCACAAAACCCATTTGGCACAGATCTGCAGCAGCCCACTTAATCCTGGTCTGCTGAGCAGAAGCCAGGCTTGCTGCAGCACCCCTAACAACAGGGTGCCCCTAGCCCAAGTTCCGTCTCACAGGTGCCATGGCCTGAGCATGCCTGGGGGCAGCAAGGTGTGATTTGGAGAATGGGGGTGGCCAGCACATTTCCAAAAGTCTGTCTGCACAAACCCCCTCATTTTCAAGTGTCCTTCTAAGTTAAGGAGACCAGAGACGACAATACACATGCTCTGTGTCAGAGAATGCACTGGAGCTTAAGAAAATGTATGGCATGGTAGTACTTCTCACAAAATTAAGTCTCTTAAAAAATAGTGTTTATAAGTCTCCAGTAGTCGTCTGGGCTTGGGGGAAATGGCCAGGACTAAAACATAAAGGAACATAAAACAAGCAAAAAAGAGCAGTAAAATCCCCCAGTGAATGGCAGAAGTTACCACTTCCTATGTCACCCAGGAGCGTTTCATTTACATGGAAACAAAGTAGAGAAGAAACATTTTGAGAATGAAAGAAAGAAACGACTCTGC